TGGGAAAAAAGTTAGTAGATGGAAGGGTTAACTAAGATACTCTGGAATTACCAAGGGAGATTCCAAAGCCCATTACTGTTATTCTCTTCTTATTTTGACTGACAACACTAAAGGCTCAGTGTTAGAACGCTCCAGATTTCACTTCAAATTTTTCACTTCAAATTGCATGAGCAAAGAATGGTGTGGTGGGATTTTCCTAGTTCTGATATCAGGATGAGTGTGGTTAATTACTTTAATGGGTAAACAGATATATATGTATATATGTATATATATAGTGAGAGGGACATAAATAGAAAGAGAATAAGCTAACTATTCCATAACAATGCAATAAATTACTTCCTCATACCAATAACGAAAAGGAAGCTGGAAGAGCATCTAAAAATACTGAAGTAAAAATAATTTTAGTTCATCATTTAGAGGAAATTATCCATTGAGAAGTCTGGTAGACTGCCAGTGCCTCAGCCTTCATACCCAAATGCATAGAATGGAGAGACAATTAATGAAGAGATTTTTTTTTTTCTCAGATAAAAAGTTTTTTTAATGGTTCTATAGCAACTGTAATCATATAAGAACAGCAGTAATTCGAAGCAGAAATTTGAATATATGGGTAGTTTGTGCAAAAGCCTCACATTTGTACTGTAGAACAAACAAAAAACCTAATTAACTACATTTATTTACCAAATAATCAAAAGTAGCCTAAACTTTTAGCTCTGAGCAAATGATATGAAAACAATATAAGGCAACAAGATTAAGAGAACTAACTGAAATCATCCTGATTCAGCAAAGCTGACTGAAGTGCTTATATACTCCATATTAAGCAATCTTTCTACCATAATGTGATCAGACTGAGCTAGATAGGCCTAATCCTTCAGCAACTTGCACTCACCATAAACTAGAAGGAAGAACAAAAATGCTAAGGAGTGTCAGTGGAAAAGGGAAGAAATTACATTATTTCATCAGTAGACAGAGATTTGTGACAGTCCAGCAAGTCAAGATAGACTGAGATGGTGTGGGTAGGAGGAAAAGTTCAGTGTGAAATTTAAGATAAAGTGGTAAGAGTGGTAAGATGAGCTCAGGCAGGGCAGCTTCTGCTTAAGTTGAATTGATCTTGTACAAACAGTTTGAAGCAGAAATCAAGTGAATAGACAAGTTCCCAGTGTTTTCATTTGAAAGTATTGGTTCAGTAATGCTGTACTCAGTAAAGTACAAATGTTAGGGCACTTATTAGATACATGACACTACTCTTGGTTAGATCAGGTTAGTTTGGTTATCAGGGCCAAAATTCTAACAGTGAGTTTTGAGAATGTTGGATAGTGGTCTCATTGAAGTCAGTGAATAACACATGTTGATTTCAATTAATTCTTCCTGCTGTGTATCCTGTAATCATTTTAAAGTCGCTGGCAGCTTTATCCTGTAGCATATGTTTGATGCTGAAAGATTAATCTAATGCTTTTCTGACTTCCCTTTTCAAAATTGTATATGACAGTGAACATTTTCTTTTTCAATGGTAGGTGATACTCATAGCAATAAGCATCATCTTGAGTAGAGTCAACATCTTTCATATATGAAGTCTGATTCTCTTTCTCATTAAAATTGAATTTATTAGACTGGAGTGCCTGATTCAGGTTACTGCATATAAAATTTCATTTTGATAACACAGCTAACTCATCGCTACCAGGACACGGCTGGGTGATTCATCATCTCTTCCTCTAAGAGACATAGTTACTATTTATATGAAACACTGTGGGGATGGACAGGGGTCTAATTTCACAATAACATTCTTATTTTTACTTTTCATTTTTACTACTGAATAATCCTAAGAGCAACTAATAGCTAAGTACCCTATAGTAACATAACCTGCTTCCTCCCTCTTGTAACAACTGCCGTACACAGATCAAAAGCTGCACTGACTTTTTAAACCTTGAGGCAATATAACTTTAATTAACTTGAAAATGTTCTGTAGTTACATTTTGTTATAACAAGCAGGTTAAGATAAAGACTTGCATTGTACCTAAATAGAAATGATGAACCATTTGAACAAGCGAAAAACAAGCATAAAGTTTCTTTGGAAAAACCATCAGTGACAAATGTGTAAGTTTATTTTCTTTCTCATAAAATGGGTTTTTAGTTTGGTACTGTCTTTTATGTCTTGGAAAACAACTTTCTGATGAAGTATTAAGGTAATACATTATGAGAAGACTGTGATCTTTTAAAGAAGTATTCTACTAGGATTAATTATCTCACTGTTACTCTGATGACATGTTTTTCATAACCTTGAACTCAACGGGTTGAAGTGAATATTTCATTTGCACCAAAGCTCAGAAAAGCTTCAGTGAGAAAAGATGAGGGAGAAGCTAGAATTTGGGGAAACTGCAATGGGGAAGTGATCTAATAAGGAAGGAATGGTCTGGAGGACTGTGGAAAAAGGAAAAGAATGACTTGTTGTCTGGTGAGAAATGAAAAAAATTAGATTATAAAGTTAAAAAGGTGCTGTTTAAAGAACACAAAAATTCACACCTGAAAGTGAAGAGGGTGGACATTCATTATTGTCGTCATCAGAGAGAAATAAAAGCCAACGCAGTTATTGTATAAGGATTGAATTTTTCTCCCTTCAGGATAAAACAGTATCTGTGTCTTGAAAACACAAATGTTTTCATGTTCTATTGTAATGTTAACCAGTTTGGTGACATTGTAAAATTTAAAACAGTGTTCATGTTTCAGGGCAAATGAACTGCCAGAGACAGTTTATAAGACTGCCTGTTAGAAAAGACATATCAATTTTAACCAACACAATCCCAACGTTGAGTTTAAAATAAAAATAAAAATACAGTATCAATACAATGTCTCTAGGGAGTTTTGAGAGAGCAGAAGATTGATGGCTAAAAGATACTAGATTGTTCTTTCTTCAGGTTGTCTTTACTGGAACAGTACATGACTCTGCAAGTATTCTGAGTGTAGGTAAATGATGCAATGCATTCTTAGGCAAAGATACCTGAATCAGTGTTTTTATACACCCAAACACTGTCATTTATTTAAGAAAGTTCTGGGAGCAGATACACTAACAAGTTTTCACAAGTTGGTTCTGTCCCACAGGTTGCACATTCTTTGCATATTAGTGAGTAATAAATGTTTTTTTCAGTAACATGTAATGATTAACATATAACTATGGATTTATATCTCATATACGTAGTCAAAAAATTATGATGCTGCATGCATAAGTGAACTGTTTGTTTTCTAGGAAAATTAGGAAACAGAGAGTAATGTGGCATAAGAAGAAAAACACTATATTCAGTCAGTTCCTTACAGTGATTTCTATAAATGAATCTAAAATTCATTCAGCTCTTATACTAACCAGCTGTTTGTGGAATGACGCCAAAAGAAAAATGACAAAAAACCATGTGAATGCCAAAAAATTTCCTCAGGCTGTTCTAAGGTTGAGAAATGCTAGTGCTTAATATTTCTTTTTCATGAAGTTCTGTATTAACTGAATTAAAAATTTATCAGAAGATTATAGCACATTTCTTAAATGGCAATAACTGTCCTGTATGATCAACATTTATCCTCCTCGGTGTCTAGATCACTTCTTCCCATTCTGAAAATTTTAAAAGTACTGGCAGAAATACTGTCAAGGTTGTGTCAGATAAATCCTTGCTCTCCTTCACCCACTGCTTGGAATCTAGAGGTTGTAACCTCAGGTTGACTGGAAGAAGAGGACAATGTCTTGCATCAGGAGTTCCATGGTGTAATGGTTTTTAGTCTAGACCTTCCTTCCTGGTAACCAGGAAGGAAGGAAGTATTCCATCCTATTTCTTTATGTAATCAAACATATAAATAGACAGAGAGAGAAACCTCTTCCTCTCTTCTGTTCTGCGAGGTTTGGGGCCAGCAGACTCCCGTGGCAGGTCTTGCTCCTGTGGGGGAGCTGAGGCTTGGTCGGGCCTACAGGGCCTGTTGTTTCTGCCGATGCGGGGTCTGGCAGTGTGGCGGTGGCGTTTGGCACAATCGTGCTGTCTCAAGAAAAGTATTAAGATTTTCTTTGGCTGGTTCTTTATGGAGTGTGTATACCTGTTTTTAGTGTTTTTTTGTTTTGTCCCTTTTCCCTTTCCTTTGGGGGTGTTGGGGGCTTCTTTCTCATGTGTACATAATCTTTGTAATTGTATATAAATGTAATATAAGTGTAAATATATTTATATATTGCTTTAGCTCTCTTATTTCAGGTCTCTTGGGTTTTTTTTCTCATTTCCTTTGTTTTTTTTTGGGGGGAAGCTTTTGCTGTGGTGTTGGAGACTTGGCAGGGAGCCAGCTCCAAACTGCGACACATGGAGACTGCTGAAAAAGTCAGTCTTTTCAGGGGTCACATTATTAAATATGTACTTTTTGAGCTGGAAAATAATGTTGCCAGTTAATCACTTAGCAACATTTGTGTGAAGGACCCTCACTTGTGAGTCAGATCGGAATCAAAGAATAATCTGTTCTTCCTTATAACAACTGTGAGGTTCTGCAAAATTATTTCACCTAGAATAGGACTTAGACTAAATCCCAGATGAAAATTGCCAGTTTTATTAGGAAGTCTGAATATATGGCATGATATCTGATGGATCAGATGCATTTGCAACAATCATTTCGATATGCAGCACTAGCATGGCCTGTTATTCTAGAAGCTTTGGGTCTGGTTGTTTCATACATCTTACTTGTTTCATCTTTTTTTAGACTTGACTCTGTGGCAATGGGGGTTATAACTGTAAAATTAGTTAAAGGAGACTCAAAGCCCTGCTTCAATACTGTGTAGGAGCTCAGATGGCCCAGACTCTTGAATGTAACCTACAGAGACATATGTATATTATTTCACATATTTCCAGTATATAGACAATTCATTTATTTGAGAGAAATAAGCAGTCACTATTTTCCCTTTTTATGTAAGAATACTTGTGGATCAGAGGTTCTCAAAGTTGTGCTCTTCAGTCCTGGTACTTCAGTTATCCAAACTTGACAAGTATGTATCGTGTCTTCCAACCTGTAAGCCAAGATTTCCTTCCAGTGGACATCAGGCTATCTGAGACAAGAAACTCATGTAAGTATCCAGGTCTTATCACAATTTTAAATGCCGCTGATTCTCACAATTTACGTGTCGTGACTTAATGGAGATTTATAATTTATTATAAATTATACTTAATGAAGGTATAATTTAAATATGATGATTCATGTAAGAAATCTGTCTTTTTCTCCTGTGAGGCTTGATTCTGTGGGAGAAATGGATGGAATCTTTCATGTTTCTGATTACATACATTTTGAACTGAGGATTTAATGTATGCACTTGAAAAATCCAAAAATTGAAACTTCATACAAATTAAGCAATCTTTTTCAAATTTACTTCCTCCACTGGAATCCTAATAAAAAAATTGAACTCTCTCAAAAATACCACTGAACTGCCCTTTTCTAAAAGCTTCGTCCTTGACTAGATTAATTTTTTTTTGGTGAAAGTTTAACTGGAATGCTGCTACAAATAGCTGTGATTCCAAGGAAATTTAGAAGAGTTATCTTTAAAAGAACATGATTTTTCATAAGGGGCATTTATTACTCATTCAGTTCACAGACTGTAAAATGCTTGTGTTTTTTATTATTATGATTATTTTTAGTGTTTAGAACTCAACTCACCTAAAGTTGTAGAGAGTGGAAGAGATCAAAAATCAAACACTGATTTCATACTGTATATTAAATTATCTAATGACCACTCTCAGAATCTGTAATTAACAGAAATAGTTTTAACTGTGTAACGTTGTGTAACGCTGACCTCACATTCTGCCAGCTCTTTTCACAAGCCATTACCTTTGCAATAACAGTGATAATTCACAGTATCCAATGATACTAATGACAAGCAATCTTTTATAATGTATCTGAATATTATTTTTTTAGAAACCACCAGAGAATATTTAGTAGTGCTAGATTATCTCAAGGAAGAGCATGACAAAAACCAGTTCTTGGATAAAATTGCAAATATCACATGACACTGCTCTGAAGAGGCTGCTCATAAGACTGCACATGTATATCTAAATACTGTTGGTTTCTGTTAATTAAAATATGTCTGGTGCAGCTGTTGCTTTCAGTGACAGGATAAATGCCATTCTTCATATATATGGATGAAATAGAAACTACAGTTTGTCCCATCCTGTGGAAGAGGAAAATTTTCTTCTGATAGTTGAGTATGACTTACTTGAAAGCCCAAATAGGTGGGGGGTTTTTCAGGTTTTGAGGGTTTTTGTAATTTTTTTTTTCTTTATATTGAAAAGAAGTGCACATGCTGGAGTAATTATGCTTTCAGTATTGTTGTTCTGTAATAGAACATAAAGTGTAATAATCATACCGATTTTATTGGTGTAATTGTAAGTGACAGATATCTGAGGCTCACAGTCATTTTAGCCTGACATTTGCAATTATTGCAGCAGTATTGATGGAAAAGGATTAAGGATCTCTCAGATGCCAAACCCCATTATTTCAACTTTATGTAGAGCTGTCAAGTCCTAATAATTCTGCAGGGATTTAGCCATCACAGCGTAAAAAGGCATGCAAAAGGTTTTCGTAACAATTTTAAAGCTACTACGGACCATCAAAATGTAAATGATCATAATTTAATGAATATCGAATTTCATAACTTTCATTTGACAATTTTAAAATTGTGCTCTATATTTTAAGTGACACAGTGGTCAACAGTTAGAAATATCCCTTAAATAAGTCTTAAAACTGTCTGTTTTTCCTGGCATCTTAGAATTGTGATTCATGAGAGTGCATAGCCCAGTTCAAGGAAAATATATCCAATGTGCAGTAAAATGGATTGAATAGTTTTTCTTTTCATCTGACATCTTCATGTCAACAATCTGCAGTCTGGTCTTTCAAGTCTTTTCAAAGGGAGATAATTCGTAAAGAGCTTCTGTGATTTATTTTTAAGACAGTTCCATGAAAAATGAGTCATACTCAGTACGTTGCCGAACTCTTTTGTATTATCGTAGGATACTTTAAAATACAATGATTCCATGAAGAATTTATTTTAGTCTTTAACCTCTTCTTTTGGAGATTCTGAATACCTACTGTAAAATGCTCTTTTTAAAATCTTACTGTGTTCAGGAAACCGACTCCAAGGTTTAGAATCTTGTGTGAAAGGAACATATTCTTTGTGTTAGACTTAGCTGTTTCTCTTTAATGACTTTCTTTTTCCTGACACTTCTGCAAAAGCAGATACTGGAGTGTGCATTGAAGATGACCCTTCGTATCTGTTGACAGACCTCTTAAGCTGACGACTTTTTCATAATGAAGATTCTATTTCTTTGGTAGCTTAAAGTTTCACAAGAAGTCTACATGAAACTTAGCACTTTGACCAGCACAGTTGTTTCATCTTTATGGATGAAAGAAGTTGATGTTTTTTTATTCTGTTTTGCTAATTGGATTCAGAGAGGTTGCTTTAATTCCACATTTTTAACAATGACTTATAGCCATCTAACAGAGGAGGTGAAAAATATGATGTCTTTGTTCAAGAGTAGCAACAATGCCAATAGGATTTCCAGTCTGCTTAGAGCTCTTCTGAAGTTAGAACTCTGCTAAAGTCACAGAAGTGCAGCAGGCATGCTTGAAGGGAGGGGGTACATAACCTCACTGACGTGAAAGTGTTTTTAAAGAAATATGTTCTCTAGCTGTATGATGTTTGACCTGGCAAGAGTATTAATCAGAACCCAGGCTGCAGTACTTCCTTATTTTATGTTTGGGGTTTTTTTTATCAATTTTTTAATAAAAATCAGTTTTTCATCTGTTAGTCACCAAGATATGCTAGAATTTAGTATATTCCTTCTTGACAGCTCAAAGACCTGTTGGTTTGACTTCTGTGTTTGCTGTGTATGATTACTATATATCTTATGCTCACTCTTTTTTCCCACTTCAATTTGTAGTTAGCTAGTTTGCCTGGAGCCCAGTAATTTGTTGCTATGACTGTTGGATGCTATCCCATGCTTTGTGTCTTTAATGAGCTCAATAGCTTGTTTTGAGCTTTTGCATCTGGTAAAATAATAAGCATGACATCTCTGTTAGTCACAGCCATGCCTGCAGTGAAGGGCACACTGGGTTTTGGGCTTAAAATAGATTTTTCTTCTATAATCTGTGTGCTCAAGCCTACAATAATTACTGAACAAAATGTTCTTAGACATTTGCCTGAATAGCATCTCAATCAATGGCACTGCTTATGAAGGAGAAAGGTATTTTTGAGACATAAAGAGGCTGTGCTCATAAACTGGCATTTACTTTCATGTAGTTCCAAAATCTAGACCTGACGTTTTTGTTTTCATTGTAATTTAATCAATAGGTGTGCTTTGATCAGACAGCTAAAAGTCTGTGTGTGCTCCTTCCCCACAGAACAGCAGCTTGGAAGGACCACTCCCTTTTGTCTTGAAACAAAAGATCATTAGCTCATTGTTATATCAATGGCCATATTGGGGTGGTTTTAAGGAAAACTCACGTAGTTCATCTGTGCAACAGGAAACTGATAGAAACAGGAGTAAAATCCAGGGAGAACCTTCACATGCTGAGTGTAGTGAAGAGATATGGTTTATTTATCCAGAGAATAAGGATAACCTTGGCTTATTAAAATGGGCTTTATCTGTCTAGAAATTTTCAAAAAGACTTAATTTAGCCTGTTCTGCAAGTTCTCTTCAAGAACCATCCCCCAACAGGTAGAGCCTTAGAGCAGGCCAGCTGTTGCACTATGAGTAGCCACAGTGGGAATTGTTTGAAATACTGTCAGTTGGTCTTAAATGCTTTAGGAGATGTAGTATCTCCACAGATTAACAAGTCATAAAGTCACATGGTCATCTGAACAAGGAGAATGAGTAATTAGAGCACAGTCACACAAATGTTGCTTTGGAGTGACAGGTTAGGGCTGGCTGCTGATCTGAAGGAACTGCCACAGGGCACAGTCTCAGTCAACAGCAAATACAATCAGCATTAGCTGACTACTCTGAGCTGTCCAGGCATGTGAGCGATTACTGAACAAAGAGTTGTTTCTGATATGTGAGTTATTCCAGAAAGACAAGGGAGTAGCTATATTTTAGCCATAGGGCACAATTTGGCTTTTTGGGAAATGGCGGAGTTTGGAGGAAACAGCAGTGCTATCCCTGAAACAAGTTATGCAGTGTAAGTATTTGTTTCACAAGAAGTCTAATTCTCTGATAAACACAATTAGGACAGCATGAAAATTATTTAAAAGTTAGATAAGAATGAAAAAAAAAAGAAACATGACAATTGCAGTCCCTTCCTCCTGACACAGTGAACACTGAGGCCCATGTGGGTTTGTAGAGAGGGAGTCAGTTTCATGATTTCTTCCATCAGGTGGAAGAAGTCACCAAAGCATCATGGCTGTGTTAAGTGAGTTACTCTCTCTGACTCCCAAAGGCATCAAAGTTAGTAAATTGCACTAGATCTCTTACGTTATATTTTTTCTTTCCACTTAAAAATGAAAGCAAAAATAATAATGCAAAAAGATTAACCAGGGAGAGAGTATTACTGTTAATACACTTGACAGGCTTACAGGGTCTAAGCCATGCATGTTCACTAGAGGTTTATATATGGACCACAGTCAGAGAGAGAGACAGAAGCATCTGTGAATCTGGCCATGTTTTGTTTCTGAATGCTTTGTGGAAATGTTGGCACTATTAGTGTTTTGAACAAGTGGAAAAACAGAGAAGGCTATAAATTAAAGACTTGGTAATCCATGGTGCAGAGTTATGAATGAAGTGTATAAGTTCAAGTTCATCCTTTCTAAAGTCAAACAATTTAAAAAAAATATTTCAAGGGAAATAGTGTGACGTCTTCTGTTGTGTTTTGGGTGCAAAATCTATGCTGCTATGAGAAGTGAAAATAAAAAAGGAGCTGCTTACTCCATAATGCCATTTTGTATGACTTAAAATGTAAAGCTTATCAAAATAAGCCACACTTCTCATTCGACATTTAGTTTAGAATCCTAAAATCTTATGAGAAGCCTTTAGCATCCAAATTCAGCTTTTGCAAATCAGAATGCTTTAGTCCAAGTTGAGT